AAGGATTTTTTGTTTACTTTATTGCTGAAAGAAATAGAATTCGCGTCTTTACAATTAGATAATTCATTATAATGGATTGCCAAAGAAAAAAAGGTGAAAAGGTTAATAGTAAAAGGAAAGTAAGTAGCTTTTCTGGTAAGTGCTTTTTAGAAACTAGATTACTAACAGTCGCTGTAATTATATGGAAAATTATTCTTTTTTGTTATGTTTTAAAAATAAATTCTGAAGTATACATTAAGAGATAAAGCTTTTCAGGAAAAGATATCCTTGTTAAGACCCTTGGCAACAGTTTCCGGTGTCGCCAAATATTGTGCCGATCTCGCAGTGTTCAATTTCTTACAACATTAACAAATAGTAAATAAGAGAGTGAATATGACCTTAAAAATAAAATCAGAATATTTTAAAATGACGTTTTTAGCAATTTTGCAAGTTGAAAATTTCCTTACAATTAAAAAAATAATTCTAAAATTTAAATGTACGTTTTGCAGAAATCCTTAGATGCCAAAATTTTTGCGTTAGGACTTTAATAGGATTAAACGTTAGGATTTGTGTAAGGGCAAAAGTTTAGGATTTAAATTTTGATTTTTTTGCAAAATAAAGTTTGTTTGAAAAATTCTGAGCTTTAAAATCTGTTTACAACCACAATTGTTATTAAAAAGTAAGGAATTTTATTTGGTTTTATTTGTAAAATAAATTTTTTAAATACTACAAACTGCGAAAGGAATCATACATATTATAACTTGGTCACCAATTTTATTCAGACCTACTTCATCACAGCTGAAGTTCAGTTTAAGAACCGGCGTTAAACAGCAGAATGTTCAACTCTGTAGCCTTGTAATTTAAAACCCATTCCAAAAAACAAGGAAACTTCGTGATCAAGCATTGGGAAAAAATTTGCATTATTGGAAGATTTTCTGATGGAACAAACCCGAATTTACGTTGCATGGAGAAGAAAACCATGAAAAAACCCCACGTTCAGCCAGACGGCAATAGGACTCTAACGCATTCTCCGTCTACCAATGAAGACGTTTTACGTCAGTACTGGGGTCAAGACGAGCCGGGTGCGGAATCCGTATCAACCAGCCATCATTAAAATACGAACCTGGGACACCTCATTGGAAGAAGAGCACTCAAGTCCCTGAGCCACCATAGCTCAGATGAAACTATAACAAAAGAAAATCCAGATTATAACTGGAGTGATGAAATATTGTATCATGAACTTTTAAATTTGCTGGTAAATATACTTACCACGGCTTTAGAAAGGGTTAAGTACGGGTGAGCAAAGGTTTGAATCAGATTTTTCCAACCTCTGGCAATATTTGGCTAGATATTTTTGCAGTTATTATTTTTTAATGTTTACCAATTTGATACTGATAAATTTTAAACTTAATCAACCACTTTTTATCTTGAAAAATCTAAATATAAAGCAAATCAATTCATTGCGGTTATCCATATTGATGTATGGGTTAGGGGCCGCTGCGCGCCCCAGGCACCCAATTTTTTGATAATAAATGCAAACGCGGTTATCCATACGACTCAAGACGGATGGGGAAAGGACTGCTAAAGGCCTCAGGCGCCCAGGTAAAATTTGATGATGATGATAGTTTTCCCTACGATGAACAGAATAATCTTTAAACCCATCTCAATAAAATTTTTGATTTCAAATTTAAGCCTAAAAAAAGGAAGGATGATCCCGTAAAGGGTTAATCTCTTCAAATCCAAGGTACACTTTACTGCTACTTAACAAATGATGAGTACTCGCATCCTGAGAAATTAAAGAGTGGTGACGAACAGCTTGAAATATTAAAGTAGGTAAATCGGTTTAAAATTTCATAAAGTTAACTTCAAATTTAGTTTTATAAAAGCAATTTCGAAGCTTTTACACCAACCTAAACGAAAATAGTTTAAGCAGGTATGAATGCTTCAAAAGATGTATAGTTTTCAAAAATTTAGTTACAACTTTAGAAAGGAGAAAAAATATTCCCGGTCCTGCTGACGCCAAATATATCAAGTCTAATAAGGCTAAAGATGAAATATCTGTAACATTTGTTTTTATTGAAATTACATACTTTTGCAGGCTTGGCTATGAACAGATAGAACAGTTTAGAGAAGGACATCACAAAGAATACATCCAGGGATACGGCTGGATTCGAACTTGCCACCTCCATGCTTCGCCGTGCGTTTGGCGGGCGATTCCGCTCTGCCAAGTCACTTTTGAAAAATCCTTCCAAATTTATGATTTTTACGAAAAATACTATCTAGTGGTAAACAATTTTATGATTTGAGATATATTTGGTGCTAAGTTTAAAAATTTTGTTTTAAACTTATACTGGTCATTACAACATAAAGAGTTTTAAAAAAGATATTTAAGAACACTGAAAAGTATGCCCTGCACACAGGACTTCAAGCTCTTAACGCTTTGGAGGAAAAAAATTTCTAGAGGTAGCTAAGCTTAGGTATTAATTTCTGTCTCTTTGTTTTGTAAATTTATTTGAAAGCTATTTTCCACACAATAATCTGAAAATTATTCAAAAGTACATATGGGACGACATTTTGATCGGCTCTCTTGAATCACCCTACTGCATGTAACTATACAGTCAGAAATCAATGATCATCTATCCACATGAATGCTTCATTTGCATTCCACCACCTCATAGAAACACCATAATATTCATGCTAAAGATGAATGGGAAAAGGGCCGCAAGCTGCCTCAGGTGCCCAGACTTTTAATACAGTTCAGTTCAGTGCGGCTCTCTTGTTGGGAGGCTTTTTAAATATTGCATAATTGCCAAAAGTTTTGAAAGCATTAGCTTTTAATTGCGTACCAATCAATGAAATTTTTGAAATTAAAGGTACAGATTGTCAGCTTTAAGGAATAAAAGCCTGGGAGTAGAAAAAAATTGCTAATAACTTGAGGACTTTCACTCAGCTATGAGTTATGACCCATTAAATTAGTGGCTCAATTAATAGTATAATAGTATTAGTAGTGAGGGCTGATGTTTTGGCAAAGAGAGGCACAAGAATTCTCCAAGCTCTTAGTAGCCCAGTCCCCTTCTCAACTTTAAAAAGGATTATTAGATCAAAAATCAATGGGGATTTCCATCATCAATTGTCAGAAAGGGTAAAAACCAAAGTGTGGAGAGATCTTCGACAGAACACCATTCCAGACTGACCGTGCCGCGAAGCGGTGGCACAGTTTCGACTACATACTGGATATGACTAAATATCCGCGCACCTGTTTCGTTTAGGGCTGGCACCTGATCCCTATTGTTCTCTGTGCATGAGCCAAGCTGTTTTGGATGGCAGCCACATCCTGTGCTGCAAGGCCCTCCGCGGGTCGTCGTCTACCGTGCGATATTGGGAAGCAAGAGCGCTCCTGAGGAAATGACTTTTTACTTTCTTGTTTTGTTCCTGTGTTTTTGCTTTTTAACATGTCAATCCACCTCTGCCATTTGAAATAAATAAATAAAATTCCTAGTGATGGTTCGTTAGTTCGTTGTAGTGGAACTGGGCGTCTGAGGCCTTACGGCCCTTTTCCCATCCTAAAATTAGACTAAGAAGCATACATGACAAAAATAAAGTTTGGGTAGCAAAATGGAGCTCATGTGAGGAAAAAAAATGCACTTTGCCATTATTAGGTAATTACAAAATTACAAGTAATAAAAAAGTACGTGAAAAAAGGTAAAATTGAAGTAAAATGTGAAAATTAACACTAACGAATATTTACAGTATTTACAGTTTGGGAATACATACAAAAAGGAGGGTGAGTTAAAGAAATGTGAGGATGTGTGTATATGTGTTAGTAAGTGTGGCTCTGTTAAAATAGAGACCCGGCCGTCCTGGTAATTACCACTCGTGACCGATTGCTCTCTACACTTAAGTTACAGGGATTAGCTTACCCCTGATCAGATCTCGATGGGTTCCTACTGATAGATGACATTTTCAGAGTTGTTATAATCAGGATAAGAAGAAAAAAAAATGTGGCTTCCGAACTATTTTAATATGATTTATTAGAATGCAGGACTAACAATTTTTTGGCTTATTTTATTTAAAACTACTTAATTTCAAATAAAACACATGTAAGCATTCTCAAAACTAATGTGGGTAAGTTATGTTAAAATTAAAGTGAAAGCAAAGAACAATTCTGTTACATTAAACATACACAAATTGATCAGACTATTTTATGTTATTTTTCCCTTAAAAAATATCCTGAAAATATAAATTACCTGCTTTCTCCACTAGGCTCTTCATATTCAACCGTAAATCAATAAATTTTAAATTTAATCCTGCATGATTTTTTTATTTATTTAATTTCTATCTCAATTCAAGTATCATCAATATCTAATCAAGCAAAATCATTCAAAACTTTCAAAAATTTGACCCATATACATGGCTAATGGATACAGACATCACAGTATCAGAAGCATCATTAATCAGCGACAAAATAGATTTTAACTATTCATTTAATTCCTAAAAAAAATATATATATACGCCTTGAGTAAAAGATTTAAATGATGCAATTTTTCTTCTTTCTTCCCTCCCCCGATTTCAAAGCCTTGACAACTGTCCTTAATCAAACGCGCTTAAAAGAACAGTCTCATCCTCAGAACTTTGACGAATGGTTGCATTAATAATAACAAACCAAAAATTGAAACTATTCAGTCAAAATATAAAAAATTGTTGTCGGCCGAAAGTGATTTGTGACCTGCAGTAGTCGGTGTGGTTGACAATAAGCTATATTGCCTTTCGCAAATATGCAGATGCGATACCGAAATCCATAGTGAATTTCATCTGTCATCTACCACAAAGTGACTCTTAGACGTGATCGGAAGTGGCAAGTGACATTTCTTGATACGTATTTTCCCTTTGAAAAGGGAAAAAAAAGAGGGCAATTATAATATGGGAAGATGCACCATTTGACCTCGCCCTATAAGGACGACACATGATTTTTTTTTTATCGAACGACAAAAGGATTATATTTTGTAAAAGTAATTAGTATTCCTGGGTGATTTTTGCTTGTTGACTTCAAGAACATGGGTTGGGTCTCTATTAGTATATAAAGTAGGGATTGAGATTAGTTAAAGCTACAGTCGATAATTTTCTGCTTTCAAGAAGTTTTTGGAATTGTCGTAGGGAATTTTACTATCACCATGAAGGTAATGTTTTCGATATTGATACGTAGTTTACATGCTTTTAAATTTAGGATTTTAAGTAAAATTATAGTTCTGAGTCATTTTATATCACAGGCATTTTTTGACTTTCGCTGAGAAATATTTTTATTGGATTTATTTTATCTTTATAAGCAAAATATTCATTTTTGAATAATCATAAAAATTACATAAGGAAATTTTTATTTTATCTTAAAAATCTATTCAAGTTTTAGCCCTATATTTTAAAAATTATATATACATACAAGTAGTAGTTGAGTTTTTATTAATGCAATTCACAAATGCTTTTAAGGTTTTATTCAAGTTGCTATTTAACTTTCACTCTTTTTAATCTGCATTTAAACAGCATCGATTTTTTTTTTAATTGCTGGATTTAGCACTGTTTCTCTAATTGCAATACCAAAATTAGAAAATTGTAGTAATACTTGGCATAAATTGCAGTAAAAGTTGTTCTGAATATGGTAATTCTTCTCAAATTTTTTGAAATTTCATCTCAGAAAATTATAAACCCGTAATATTGCTTCTTTATCTCCATATTGATATGTTTTATAAAAAAGGGTACAATTGGTATTTTTCATGACCCTTACTAGATTCCTTTGCACGGATCACGTCATTATATATAGCCGCTATATTTCTTATTGGTCGAATATTGGAGGAATCGTACTGGGAGGCTAGAAGCCGAATGAGATTTTTTTTAAATTCTTTTTATTGTTCCCTGTTCTTTGTTTTACTTGTTACATTTTTTTAAGTTCTCTGCCACTAGAAGTAAAAAAAATGCATAGTAAGGGAATTGTAAAAATTGTTTAAACCATAGTTGTTGTACTTGGCACTTTTATTGTACTTTTGATATTGAGCCATAAATCAATTTAGTCACAATTCAAGGCTAGGAATCAAAAGTTTTGTCTAAACAATAACCATTTAAACAATTTCTATATTACCCTTATTGTTTTCTCTTTTTTTTGTCTTTTTTTTAATATTTGATTTTTTCTTTAAATTTTATATTGGAAAAAACGAGTAACGATTTAAATTGGGCTCAAAAACTCAAATAATCGCATTGAAACACTTATTAAGGCTAAATCTGTTAAGAACCGGGTCTCAAAATAAGCAGTATTTAGGTACCATTAAATATTTGTAAACTTAGGATTTGATTAAAAAATATCTATTGTTTTTAATCACTTGTAATTGTCAATTTTCCTGTTATTTTTATGGGTTATCTTTTGTTCCCGAATTTAGTTCGCATTCTTCAGTGAATTATATTGTATTTAGAATTGAAGTTGTAAATATGATTATACCGCAGTAAAGAGTTTCGAATAAGTTGGTTTAAATGTTCAACGAAAAAAGCACCCCAAATAAGTTTCAATTTTGCATATTTTTATAAGAATATGAAAATATTTCTCACCTGTTTAAATTATGCATTTTATTTATGTATATCCTATATATGTATATATATTTCAAAGAATTTAACTTGTATTTAATTATTAATAAGTATATTCTGTTCTTAATGAGCTTAATTAACTTAATTAATTGCATTAACTTAATTAATTGCACTTAATCTAAAAAATATTCTTACAAATTTTCCTTTTAATTATCACCTAAGCAAAGTAACATTTTACAAAATTGTGCATAACATGATTTATAATTTAACTAAACTTTAAACGTGTTTGTTTCCATATAGCGTTTCAAGTTTAGAGTCCTTGTATAGATTTAAGGAGCTTTTAAAATTACTTTGATTCACATAGTATGTCTAGACTAATTGCCAAATCTAGGTAACATTTTAAATTTAACTCCTAATTAACAATTATCCTTTCTAAGGAATAGTATCATTGTAGATGATCTGTTCAAAAATTACAATTTTAAATAATTTATAGCAAAATTTAAACACGAGAAGCATTGACAGCGTGGCATAAATTTAAAATACTAAAAATAATGATAATAATAATTTTTCTATATTAACTTTTTATATAAAAGGGTTTTTAAAAATAAAAAAAAACGCTTTAAAGTTTACGATCAGTAAAAATGGTAATAAAATGTCTTACTTATTATCATCTATCTAAGAGGAACCTAAACATAAGTATATCCAATAAATTATAATAGTATCTAAAATTTGTGAGCTTTATAAACTTAGTGAAGTCTGTATTAATGTAAAAGTCATTGATTTTTAATGTTAATATATTAAGGGAACCGGAAAATAATGTCGTTTCGATGCATTAAATATTCGTTAGTCTTAAAAACCAATTGACGTTTTTCGATCCATTTCGATTCATTTTCAATCCGGCATTGAAAGGTTGCTGCTAACGAAGGTGAATACATTATTGATTAAAAATGAAATCTTGATAACAAATATTAAACGCACAGAAACGACATTACTTACCGGTCCCCCTAATATCTCCAATTGGTCCAATTGGTTCCAATTGGTTTCCTTCTCATATCTTATAACCATGGATTTAAAGCTAGTACTAAAGTGATTATGTGTTTACAGTTAAGGTTAACAGAAATATTTAAACTTTTTCAGCACTTAATTATTAACACCATGAATATTAGACTTCATAAGGGTTGCCACGTTCGACAATAAATGCAAAAAGAGGTGACTAATAAAATTAAAAAATTTATTAAAAAAGATTTAAAATTAGCAACTTTTTATACCACATTTTTTCAGTTTAAAAGTTTGAAAGAGAAAGTGCGGAACTGAACTGTAATGAACATCCGGGCACCTGAGGTCGCTTGCGGCCTTTTCACCATTCATCTTTAACTTGAACTTTGTGTTCTTTCGATGAGGTGGTGTAATGCAAATGTTAATGATTTAACCATGAATAATTTGAGTTGTAAGTCCTAGTAATAGTTTACTATTGAATAATTAAGAGATAATAAATAAACAAAAAAGAATTGAGTTTCTACTTAATATATATAATTCATTCTTAAATAAATATATATAATTTCAAACATCATTCTCAAAAAAAGTAAAGTTTTAGATTTGAAATCCCCTGACCCGAATTAGGTAAGATCAGGTACTTGTGCAAATGCAACAGAAAATTTGTTCCCTAGTGTAATTCTTGCTTACAATTGTAAAATCAAATGTTATATATCTACCATTACAAAAAATATTAACCAGAAAGTGTAAAAGAACAGCAGTTTGGCCTCTCCGATGGTAGAACATTTTGGAACAAAGAGCTATAGGCATCGTGGTCATTCTACACCCGTTTAAGAAAAGGAAATTCTTTAAATCTCTACATTTTCAAAATTTAAAGCACTTGATAAAGTACTTACATTATTATCAAAAATAAATGGTAAAACCGACACCCAGTATTTAAGAAACTTTGTAAAAAGCTTATTAAAAATAGCCCTTTATTATAGACTGGCTACTGTTTAAAATTATTTTAAAAAGTGTTTCAATGAGATAGAAGATGCAAAATGTTTTAAAAATTTCCTACCTACCAAGAGATATTTCTAAATTTTAAAACTGATTAACTGAATTCTTAAAATAAAAGTAATATCAAAGCCTGTAACATTTCAAACAGCTTCGTAAAACAGTTGTCTTAACTTTTTTAAACTTTTCTAGACTGTGGCCACCTGTCTATGACAGTTTGATGATAAATAATATTTTTTTATTCATAAGATTGTTTCTTTATAGTGCTTTATCATATTATCTGTGATGATTGTTGCTATTGGAGCTCAAAGGCTTGTGGTGAGTTTTATTTTATTAAGTTAGTTCGCTTTATAATTAATGACTGTCTTTTTGACAAATTATTTTTAATATGCTAAACTTTACAGAATAGTTTTTTTAAATTTAAAAAACTAACTTTATATCTATGTTACTCACACTGATTTTACCTCTTCAATCTATTTGTGTCCGACTGGGCCCAGTATTCATTAATGGTCCTAAAAAAGACTAATAAGAAAGAATTTTTGTTCTGTATTGTGAAATTGTCAAAAGCTGTTTTCAAAAAATTATGAAACTGCCAAAAGAATTTATTTTTTTAATAAAATAAGATTAATTTTTAAATAAAGGAATGTATAAAAAATAAAAAATTGGAAATAAAAAAATGAAGCTTAAAACTTCTGTATTTCAAAACTCATAATTAAGAGAGAAATAAAGAAATAAAAAAACAAATAAACTACTTGGAAAAGTAAAGTTTCGTGCTTAAAAAAAACTAGTTTTTCACGAAGCACTTAATAAAAGGATGAAATTTATGCATATACTTACAAAGGAGCCGCGTAAAAGAGCCCTCTGTTAAATGCAACTGATAATGATCTGAAAACATATAAAAAAATTTGTTTTTGTGATTTTCACCTGCTTTTAATCAGTTAAGTCTGTTAATTGCACTAATTTATAACCTTTTATAAAATAAAAACATTTAAAAAGATGCATATTTGCCAACTTTTCAGGAATTTGTGTAAGATTTCACTTTAAATTTAAAGTACTTCAATTAATTAAACTTTTCTTTTAAATTCTCGGACTTACAAATTTAATTAAAAATGTCTTTTAATGCATTAACTTATAAATAAAATAAATGCATATAAATACATATATACATTCTTATAATAGTAAGTTTAAGCTCTCAGGTAATTTGGTTTCAATTTTGTCGTTGTCATTTCATTACCTTTTTTGGAAATTCACTAACACACACATACACATTTGGGGAAGTGTAAGAGTGGGCAGGTATGTATTAACGAGTTACAAATTTAACCCAGCTTAACTTTTAAAAATAGTACAACTTCAACTACATCTATAGTGACTACTTGACCCTTGATGACTTAAAATTTTTGCAACAATACGCCACTGTACCAAACAGCAAGCGAATTTCATGACATAGAATTAAACACGACGAAAAAGTAAAGACTTATAGCACAACCAGGTTCACCAAAAAGCCTTCCTGGCCGAGCAGTCTCGCCGCTCTACCGAATCCATTGTAACATAAAAGTAACTGATTTCAATCTACTTTGGATGGATCTTTTTTATGTTCTTTTTTAACATATGTTATAAGTTCTTCAAACTTTGATGGTATATGCTCTGAGCTTACAAGTCTTGCCTTGTGAGGAACACAGGCCGGCATATATGTGTGTAATAGTATATAAATCAGGATTACCAAATATTTAATTTTCAAGTGATCATAACGAGAATTTTTAAGACTAGCTGTTGATCAATTGAAAAAAATTATATCAAGTCGTTAGCCTTAAGTGCTTCTCAAGGGTTTGTGACTTACGAATTTACATTCATTTCACCATTTAAAAACAGCTGTTGATCAATTGAAAAAAATTATATCAAGTCGTTAGCCTTAAATGCTTCTCAAGGGTTTGTGACTTACGAATTTACATTCATTTCACCATTTAAAAAACAGACTCTTCCAAAGCTAATTCTTTTCTGGGTACTCAAATACAACATTTAGTAGTATCAAATAAAATGTTTTTACAGGGTTTGTATGCAAGTGGGAAAAAATAATAACTGGTATCAATTTCATTAGAAAGAAGCTGATTCATTTCTCTACATAAATACAAAATATTCTGGTAGCTACAAATATAATATTAAAAAAAAATTATATTGAAATTATGATAACGCTTAAATTTTTTCCAGATGAGTATGAACCCTGTTTCATAAAAAAAGTGGTAGAACATTTGTTTTTTACCCTTTCTAGTGAACTGTAGCCAGTCTGGCAACACTGATTCAACAATGTTATAGATCACCAGAAATATTTACAGCAATAGTGTTGCTATAAACCACTAACTACATCTAAACGCTTAATAACTTCTAATACTTTACCCTTTCTAGTGCAATGTAGCTAGTATGGCAGCACTAGTTCAATAAATGCTACAAACTACTAGAAAAATAAAACTAATTGTTTTTAAACGTTTCGCTACTACTATTTTGTAAAAAAGAAAGCGATGTTTACCGGTTCTTTTAGAATGTACTGTATAAGGTCACGCAAGTTAATGTCCTAACTGACCCAAATTTTTAATCGAAACTAGCTGCTCTGGAAAGGGTTAAACGAAATTGCTATTTCCTATTGTTAACTTCGCTCATAATTTAACACGTTCACGCCGGGGTGACCCACCGGTGGGTCACGCTAAATTGTCTCATCTTGGCAGCGCACCGGAGTAAAAACTGGTAACAATAAATTTCATTTTTTAGTTTTTTTTCCGGGAATAATAAAAATCCATAACTACCAATTGTTTTTAACGGATGCAATTTTTATATTGAATTGCTTCTTTGCCGTGATAAATTTCCTTACAGTGAATTGTTATTGTTGAGAATAGATTAACTCCTCCCGAATATTACGTAATAATGAAATTGTTCTTCTACCAGTATTTTCTCTTTTCTCGTACCAGTATTTTCACTTTTCCCGGCGTGAACGTGTTAAAAGAAGCTACAGTTAAATGAATTCAGATGGCAAATAAGATATTTATGATTACAATATACTCGAAATTTGGAATTTCGAAAAATTGTAAGCCGAATTTCATAATGAGCGCACAAGTCTGTGTACGTAACAATAAACAAATTTAACATGAATAATTAAAACTCACGTTTACACCAAATTTAAACAATGTGATACAATTCTGGTCTTTCCAATTAAGGGCAAGTTCAAAGCATTGACATCTGATAGGTTAAAACGGACATTCTTACATCAAGGAACAATGTTAAATCATAAATTACAGGAAAAGAAACCAACACTTTCAGAATTTGATATAATATTTCTTTTCTTTTCCAGCAACCAGAACAATATGCACCAATTCCCTACTCTTTTAGCTACGCATCAGATCTCGAAGATGGCGGCAGAAATGCACATCAAGAAGAAGGGGATGGCAATGGACGAGTGTCTGGTTCATACACAGTCCAGGGAGAGGATGGTTTGGGCAGAGTCGTCGATTACATTGCAGATGAAAATGGTTTCAGAGCAACCATCAGAACCAACGAACCAGGAACTGCCAATCAAAATCCAGCTGATGTAGTTATTGAATCCACAGCTGATAACACTCTGCCAGCAGTCAGGACAGCACCCATTGCCAGACCAGTAGTACCCGCTCCAGTTGGCAGGCCAGTCGGTGTCCGATATGTTCTCGTTCCCATAACTGATCCAAGAGCAGCTGGTTACTATTAATGGAGAATCCCTAAAACTAGTTCCTTAATCCCAATAGGCATTTTATAAACTGTTCTACCTTTTAATGGTCATTCATTGTTATTTGTTTCGAATTATATACTCATTTTATTCGTTATCGTCGCTTTACGTTGCAAGTTTATCAATAAAATGATGCAGTTGAAATGGTGATTGTAAAGTTATTGGATTGGTGGCATATATGAAAAAATGAATAAAAAAATTAATATGTGTATGAATTTGGCTTAAGGCATTTTCATTTCTTTTCCAATTATTATTTAATCTTTTAATTATTATATTTTACTATTAATTATTATATATTATTAAATATTATTATATATTGTTATATATTATTTTCTATTTAGTAAAATATTTTAGTATACGAAATGCCTAATATAAAATAAAAGGTAATCAAATTACAGTAGCAACGGCTACTTTGCTGGAACATAGCCTGGTCAGTAGTCATGTCCAAGGGGTCGTGAGTTCGATCCCCGCTGGCTGAAGACTCCTCGTGTAGTTAATTGTGACTGATTCATATACTATCATAACTATTCACAACTATCATATTCGATGAGAAAATAAAGTTTTTAGAATGTAAGACATAATTACATAGCTCAGCAAACTCCAACCCGACATCTCGCTCACAATAATCACACGCTTTAACCCCTTGGGGACGGGTGATACATAAAAGCATTCGTACAAAATCGGAATCCGGATGGAAATAAACAAAAAACGGTAGCTTAAATGTAGGCGTTGCTAATTTGACAGACTTACTTTGCGTTGACTTTATTATTGTTAGTTTAATCATATATATAATCAATGTTAGCTCAGAGTATAATGAAATAATTTTATTTTGACCTAAAGTAATAGTGAATTAAATAAATCCAACAATTATAACCCACAAATATACTGCTAAAGAACTACTTTGGTTACCAGTTTTATCTTTTTACCCTGATTGATACGGTTTTATGCTGGCACATATTTGTGACAGTCGGAGCGAAAGGGTTAAATAACCCATAAAACAGGGTTGCTATAATCAGTAAAAAAATTTAAAGTAGTAAGAAGCAAGTTGAGAAAAATATTAAAGTTAAAAGCTATTTATATCTATCATAAGAAAATCCGATTTAAGGTTAACATATGCGTATGTAAAGGGGATGTTAGTTCAATGCTTATGTGGTAAGTAAATTAGAACGTTTCTCATTAGCTTTAGGTAAACTTAGCTAAACCGCAAATTTCTCTCCCAGGTTGCTGCAACCTTGCAAATCGCATGCATTACTAAATGTTTAAGCAACTGGTAGAAATGACTAAATGTATATAAATCTATGCAATTAATCTAAAAAATTAACGAAATATCCTATTCAGAGCCAAGGTCACCTCATCCAATACCGAGCACCCACAACCTGGAAAAACTAAATAGCGTTGACTAACTTTTCTCAAGACTCCTTAAAATTTCAGAAAGTTAACTTCCAGTTCAGTTTCATTAACACGTTCACGCCGGGAAAAATGAAAATACTGGTAGAAGAACTATTTCAATATTAGATAATATTCGGGAGGAGTTAATCTATTCTCAACAATAACAATTTACTGTAAGGAAATTTATCACAGCGAAGAAGCAATTCAATATAAAAATTGCATCTGTTATGGATTTTTATTATTCTCGGAAAAAAAACTAAAAAATTGAAATTTATTGTTACCAGTTTTTACACCGGTGCGCTGCCAAGATGAGACAATCTAACGTGACCCACCGGTGGGTCACCCCGGCGTGAACGTGTTAAATCAGTTATGAACGTTTTACACCATGAAAAACGAAATGAAAATATTTTTTAGCAGATATGAATAGTTCAATGCGTGCGTATTCGTCCAAATTTAGCTACCACTTCAAAACAATTTCTAGGTTGAGCTCAGTCAAAATATTTAAAATTACAGAATGCTTTAATTTGTTTCATAATTATTTAATTCATACTTTACTTTAATAGCCAACTAAATTATAAATATTTTTAAAAAAATTTTAAAAATAAGAAATGAAAAAAATTTCGCTTTTTACTTAAAGTAGTGGTAAAATATCTGCTTTGAAATTCCATTTTTGATGCAATTCATTTTGTTTTAAGAGATTTTTACCCCCCTTTTATGTAAATAAAATAAACATATATAAAAGAGGTGTGATATATAAAGGAGGAAAAAGTAAATATTTATAAAGGAGGAGGGATTTAGATTCAGATATTAAAAATTTTTTGCTCCCAATTATCATAGCAATTGTTCTTTCACTGCCAGTAGGGAAAAAAAGTTTAGCTTCTTTCGTTAATTTATCATTTGACTTAAGAAGAATTTTAAATTGTTCGAGTTGTTTAAGTTGTATGTTCAAGTTGTTTCGTACTATGTGGTTTTAATATATATCTTTTGAACGCTTGTCAAAAAAAGAAGTAAAAAAGTACGCACAATAGGGATCACAGTTTAATATTTAATCGAGTGGATCGATTTCTCGAAATCTAATGAATCACTATTTTATTTTATAACCGTTGTTGAACAGCCGACCCGTTGTTGGGCTTACGACTACTAATGTTCAACTCCTTGTAATATTGAATATTGCCTTGCCTAATGCCTTGTAATATTGAAACAAATCCAGAAGACAAGGGACTTGCTGAATCAATTATTGGGAAAAATTTTACCTTCATGGATAATTACATGAAGAACGAAACCACGAAAACATCCCACTATTATCCTGATTGCAAGGAAATTCTAACCCATAATCCGTCTACCACTGAGAATATTTTACTTCAGCACTATGGTCTTAGCGAGCCGGAAAGGAATCACTATGGAGAAAAGTGGAACTTAAACATCAAGATGTGTTTGATTGACGAAAGAAACAAAGAGGAGTTGAAATGTGATTTGTAGAAACAACGCCAACTTTTATAATAAAAAAAAATTAAACTGTTTTTGATGTTTATCATCCTACCATCTTTTCTAAACGGCTTTTCTAAAAGTTTTTTCTGTTCTTAAATATTAATTTGAAACTCCCAAATGCGTATACTTTTTTGCTTCATCTTTCACAAGGAGTCTAAATATACAGATTAGGATACTTCTGTACATGCATGCAACTTACATGTTTTAATTTTTTATGTAATCGATACAGATACTTAAATCAAAGGATAAGCCTCTTTTAAATCAGAGTAGATACATCACTTAAGTTACCTTCTACTATACTATCAGCATTCCCACCAACTCATCTTGATTTTGCGAGAAAAAAAATTGTTATACCTTATGAGGTGGCAAAATTTATTTACTCGCACTTTATCCTTAGTTGAATAACGTGATTTAAAATGATTTTAACTCCTATAGCATTTAAATAATTTAATCAAATGTACTGTAGGCCAGCTAACTCTCTAAAAGTGCATTTAAGGTAATGTTTCAATAAAACACCAGTTTACAATCTCAATTGGAATAGCATTTCTTTACTCGTAAAAGAAACATTTCTGAAAAACTTAGAAGTAGGCTGGTATGTCACTGCGTTCTCACCAACGTTAGGGCCTAATTTCACTCATGAACTTTCATCCAAGACTACCGCAGCTCTGCTATGATAACTGAACTCTTTTCCGAACTTTTCTCTGAGTTTCGCTCCGAATTTTCATCATTTCAGTTCAGATCAATTTAATAAAGCCCCATTTTGGAACTGGTGCATATATAAATAATTCACATAGACATAAACGCCACGGCATGTTCAAACCTTCCAACATTTAACACTAGATTGCTCAAGGAAGTCATTCTGGCCTATTTTTTAACTGCTTTTTCATTTGCAAAAAATGTACAAATAATAATGCATAATTTTTTTTCAAAATTAAATTTTAAAAAAATTATTGTTAGCATTTACTAATTACTTGTTATATAACGGTAAATAATATAAAAATATAAAAAATTAATTAAAAAACTTTTCTTTACACATTAATTATTCTTTCACAATGCAGTTATTTTGACTGCTTTTTGTCAATATAGGTATATACTAAGTTTCAGTCTTTCTAGTGTTAATGTTTCAGAGAATTATTTTTTTTTCAGTAGTCGTAAACTAGAGCAAAAAAATAATTAAACAAATAGATTTATTATGCAACTTCTGTTAAAATTTAAGAATATGACGAATTTTTTAGCTGACCTTAGATATTTAATTTATGTCTAAACTAATTATATGCAGTGGTGTATAAGAAAATTTATTTCTAATTTATTAAAATATTAATACATTACTTTTTCTTTCACTAAGAAAAGGAATGTCTAAAATTATGGGATTTCTGCTATGGCTAATATGGGCAATGGGCAAGTAGCAAAAGCTGTTTCACTACTTCTCTATAAAACATCTCGCTCACCAAACACACAGCGCAAAAGCACTTTTCTCGAAATCATTTCGAACAAAGATTCAAAATCACAGATGCTCTATAACTTAAAGTGTCACATCAAAGAAACATAAATCACTTTCCGAGGTCACACTGAAAGAATATTAGAATATTGGGATCATTTGTTTAAGAAAAGAAAAACTAATAGCATTCTTTGAATTCAAAAAGAATTGTGGTCGATTCTTACAATTCTTATCTTCTTCCTTCAAGTAGATATCTAGATATTTTTCAAGGTCTAGGATCGAATTTTTTATTGCATAATTTATTTTTTTATATTTAGTGATCTAGATTCTTATAAAGTTCCTTCTATCCTCCAAGGTTAAGAAGCTCTATCAGAAAATAGACTGTCTGCTATGGGGCTATTCATAAGGGATGTCACTTTCCGAACTCCCTTCACACTTATCAACGCTATATTAAACTTATGCTAGCAGTTCAGAAACGCGTTTAGATAATATTTCAATTTTTATTTTTAAGTTTTACGTTTTCAAATATATTGATCAGTTGTGTGCTTATTTTGGTGAAAAACATAAAAAAAATATATCAAGCAAACAATGTAAATAAATTTAATATACTCGATTTAAAAATTTTCTAATTTAAAATGTCACACATTGAGTTACTTCCTCCTTCTTCTTTGTCCCTCATTGCCGAACACCCTCCATTCTCTTCAAGCGTGGCATCATTTATGAATAGCCCTTATACAATACATGACTTAATATTTTATCTGAATGTACCTTTCGATGTATAAAATCCTTTACACAACTAGAGAATGTAATATGATGTACTATTTATAGATTATATGTTAGATTGATTTTGAAAACATTGGAAAAGTTGAAATGATTTTGTTGCTTTTTATTAGTTTTTTTTTTAA